GGGTCTGTCCAGGTGTCTTTACCTGTTAACTGGCTCTGGGGCTGGCAGGACTCCCTTGCTCACATGTGGGCTTTCCCCTAGCTCTCCGGGAGATGCTGCATAACCACTCCTTCGTGGGCTGTGTGAATCCGCAGTGGGCCTTGGCGCAGTACCAGACCAAGCTGTACCTTCTCAACACCACCAAGCTCAGGTGAGGCGCTGAGAGGAGGGTGTAAAAGAAGAGCCTCTAAAACAGTGAGGCCATGGATTTGTACCCCCTGCCCCTAGCCAAATCTTTATGTGTGTGTGTGTGCGCGCGCACTCACATGCACAGTGGAATCCTGACCTCTATGTGTATGGATACAAGACCATTTGGGAAGAGAGTTTTTCTTTGTGATGTAGATGAGGCCAGATCTGTCTAGGGTGGCTTAAGCCAATCATTTCTGAGCTAGGAGAAGCAGCTGCGGCCCAAAAGCAAGCAAGCAAGCGTGAAGCAGGACACAGAGGTGCCGGCTGGAGCTGAGGAAGCCAAGGAGCAGGGCAGACAAGTATTTGCCCTGAGTGGATGGACGGGCACTAGGGACCCGTTTTAGCCTTCTAGTCTCTGAAACAGAAAAGAAATGCCTGTTCTTGAAAGCCATCCATCTGCACAGCAGCCTAAGTAAGGAAAGCAAATGGTCCGGGGACCTGGGCACCACGTGCCAGGGGCTGGCTGCATGAGGTAGCTGGAAAGGGTGCACAGATGTGGGTTCCAATCTTGGCTTCCCCGTTTGTGTAACTGGAGACTAGCACGTTCTTAAGCTACAATTCAGATCTCTCATCTGGGGAGTTGGGCTGTTCCTCTTGCAGATTTTTGTGTGCAAGGATAAGAAAGAACATAAGAAGCCGAGTCCTTGGTAGGTGCTCCATACAAGGCGTGGGGCTTCAAAAGAATCCCTTTATCTTTGAATTTTCCCATGAACATTTGGAAGCCCCTCAGTGAATGTTGCCACTGTGAGCCAGGGGTGGAGGGTTCGGTGCTGCTAGAGATTTTACACAGCGGTATGTGATGGGGGGCCGTGGGGGCTGCAGGGGAAAGACGACCAGCCTGCCTTTCCGCAGGTGTTGAGGACGAGAAAATATTACTCAAGCCCCCTGGTGAGGCCGATCAGCACAGGCAGGCCGAGTCCAACGCAGCCATTTGCCTGGCACATAGCGCTCACTGCCGTGAGTCAGTTCCGGCCTGGAGCGACCCTGCTGGGCACACTAGAACTGTCCCTGTGGGTTTCCCAGACGGCAGCTCCTTACAGAGTAGAAAGCCTCATCTTTCTCTCCCAAGGAGCTGCTGGTGATTTTGAACGGTTGACCTTGCGGTTTCCAGCCCAACATGTAACCAGAGCTAGCTACAATTACAATGACAGTTTTCAGGGACCGTGGTGGACGAGCTTGTGGTGAGGCCGCACCTGTATTAAATATGTGCTCAAACAGGAAGATGCTGCCATGTTGCTGTTGTGAGACGCCTTTCTGCTCAGTCTCGCTGTGGCCTCTTGGTGCTTCTGAGCCCTGTGAGTGGGCCAGCCACCGATTTGCCTCTGTCACACAAGCATGCTCTGCTTCCCAGCTGGGATAGAACTCCTTGCAATGGCCACACAAAACTCACACAACGCTCACGATTGTGGAATTTATTCTGGAAGTTAATAGGTCACAATTTCGGTGAGAAATGCTCAGGATACAATTATTCGATCAAAATATGTTCCAAAGCTCCTTTAGGGCTGCTAATAAATGTCCAAAGGGCTTGCTACTCCCTGTGAGCCTCAGCCCGAAGGCACTCAGCTCAGCTCAGCTCTGTGGGTCGGTGAACCGACTCACCAGAAGCACCCCACTCCAGTAAGCCTCAAGTCGAAAGCACTCAACTCCAGCTCTGGGTTCAGCAAACCTAGCTCCCTGAATTAAGTGCCCACAGGCAGCCCACTCCCCAAACCAGCCTCCTGGCCAGCAGCATGTAGCTTTACTTGCTCTGTGGCTGGCAAGCCTACTGCTGTGTCATGTTCTGGATCCTGGGTCTGCTGCTCCCCTGTCACCCCTCTGGTGCCACCACTGCCTCCTAGACCAAGACGGCTCACTGTGCAGGGATCCAGAGGACATGCTCCACTCCGGGCTCTCGCTGCTAGTGAGGGCCCCACCTCCTGCTTCTGAGATGGTTCACTTTATAGCTAACAGAATGGCAGTCATCATAAATCTGGTAACAGGTGCAACTGAATCCTAGCATTATTTCCCCCCACCCCCACCTGTCTCTTACTCAGACCTATTAAGAAAAGGCGTTTTGGTAGGAGTTACAGAAACGGTGGCTAGGAGAGCCCGTTCAATAACTCACTGGTAGGAACTGAAGCACACTCACTGCCTGGAGAGCCTCTCCCTCCTTCTAGGCGTAGAAACCCTTCTGCTACAGCGCTTTTCCTTTGCGTAAACAACCCTTGGGATCGTTGGTGAGCTGCCACTTACGAATTTGCTAGGGATCGTATCCCCTTGCTCCTCCTTTTCCATCATCTCTAAATGCATGACCTCCCAGCCGCCAAACCGCGGTGATGGTCACCTCACAGGAACAAACCCAAGTCAGGCCCAGAATTCCAGCTCTCAGGTAATGTCAGTGGTTTCCCAGTGAGGTGGGGTGGGGTGGGGTGGGGTGGGGTGTGTGAACCTTATGGAGAGATACCAGTTGTCGAGTCTGGCATCTACATTCAACTCCTTCCTTCACCATTTTACAAACTTGGGCCTGGGACAAGTCAATCACTCGGTGCCTCAGTTTCCCCACCTATAATATAGGCATAGCAGATGCCATGTCTGTTTCCATAAACATTGACATCTCTAAGCAAGAGCTATATGGGTCACATTTTTTAAAGAACTACAAAGTACCATTTTTCATCTCGGTTCCCTGTCAGGCAGTCAATATCCTTTATGCTTCCCATGTACTTGTAGAAGGTTCTTGTGGCCTGTCTCATCCTCATTTGATTATTTAGCAAGTCTCCCTACCCTTATTTACATTCCACAGCATTTTTAATGGTGAGTTATAAAAATGTGATTTATAGGATTCTTTTAAGTGGAAGGGAAAGCAAGCAATGCAAGATCTCCTTTGGTTTCAAAAACCCTTTGACAGCACCAGGGGGTTGGAGCCAGAGCTGGGCTGAGAGCAAGCCAGAACTTAGTCCTGGCCCTTTTACTGCCTGGCAGGGCTGAGGTCAGAGCCAGGGCTGGAGCGGGCTCAGGGTATGCCAGAGGGGAGCGCTTGTTGGACTGTCAACCAGCTTCCACAGCAAGGCAGAGCCAGTATCTCTGTCCCATCCGTGTTTTCGTGCTTGCTTCTCCTGGGTTTTTTTTGACTACTGCTTGATACTCAAGCCCTGATAGCATTGTGGGTGAGGTGTTGGGCTGTCAACCACAAGGTGGACAGTTCAAACCCACCATGTGCTTCCAGAGAGAAAGATGACGCTATCTGCTCTGGAAAGACTTACATCCTTGAAACCCGCAATAGGGTTGGTGTGAGTCGGAATCAGCGTAGGTCTGCGTTGGGCTGGCTTCGTTCCCAGAATGAGTTCAGCTTTTCCTCATTTTTTATTTTCAGCGAAGAATTGTTCTACCAGATACTCGTCTATGATTTTGCCAATTTTGGTGTTCTGAGGTTATCGGTAAGTTTATTTTTCTGCTTCGCACTTCAGAAACTTCAATAGTTGATCATTTATGGAAAAAGTAGCTCTACTTTGATACTTTATTTGTGGTATATCAATCGTTTAAAAATATGCTTATGATAGGTTTTGTATGATTTGCATAAAGCCGTATCTTTAATTGTAATAATCGTATATACTACATGTTTTAGCAGAACAGTCATTTGATGGCCAACTTGAAAACTGCATATTTTTATGACATTCATACATATCTATGAAGGATATTTGGAAATTGATAAAAATAGAAACGAATAGTTTTTAAAGCCAAAATCCAAACACTGTAGATATCAGTGCATTTCTTTCAGCACATGTCTGTGCCATATGTTAATGGGAAGTTAGAATCATTCCACGACTGATGCCATTCCATGCCTTCTGTTGTCATTCGGCATGGCCTACACAAAAATGCATGATGGCATTGTTGACTCTTTTAGACTTATTCCTCAGTTTGCTGGTCTAAATGTCACTCTTGGGTTTGTGTGTGTGTACGTATGTGTGTAAATGCATGTGTGTGTACGTGTTTGTGTGTGGTGCACTTCCATTTGACTACTGTTTGTTGCTAGCACCCAGAAATACAATTGCTTTTTTTCTATATTGGTCTAGTGCCCTGCAACCTCATTAAACTTACATTTTGTAGAATGTAACTGTGAACAAAGACAGTTTTACGTCTTCCTGCCCAACCTGAATGCCTTTGTTTCTTTCTCTCCTCTGGGCTGCATCATCAGGACCGCCCAGTGAGACATTGAATGTATCGATGAGAGTGGAACTTACTGACTTTTTTGTGATCTTAGTGGGGACAGCATCCACTCTTTTCCAATAAGTGCGATGTGAGCTGTGTGCTTTTCATCAGTGTCCTTGATTGGGTTGAAGACGTGCACTTCCATGCCTAGTTTTTCCAAGTTTTCCTTAGGAACAGATGCAGAAATTTGCCAAACACGTGTTGTGGCTATCCAGATGATTTTTGTTCTCCTTTTCATGTGTTAATATACAGGGTTACATCAATTTTCAAAAGCAATTTTACCTTATTTTTACTCCCCCTGCCCTCAAGTATATGTTTGGTAAAGGTTCACACAGCAAATTAGGTTTCCTTTAAGAGCTGCTACACACATTGTTCAGAGACATTGGTCTCATTTCCACAAGGTATTACCATTCTCATTAGTTCCACTCTGGATGGTTCCTTCCCAGTAAACTGGTTTCCTGGTCCCCTTTATTGTTCATCATTGCTGTAGGCTAACTGTTGGCCATTTGGTCTCATACAGACACTTTTTAAAGGTTCACAGTACTCGCCAGTACTACGTTTTATGAGCCAAATTCTTTTTTAGCCAAAAGATGACCTCAGGTTAGTTTCACCTAACCCCTTAGGGGCTATGGAGTATCTCAGGGAGTTCTCTAGAATCAATTGGTCTAGTGAGTCTAGACTTCAAGAATTTGAGTTCAGCCCCACATATTTTTCCCTTTCGATCAGGATCCAACCACAGTGACCCTGGTCAGAATAGTCAGGAGTGTTTGCTGGGCACCCTCTAGGTCTTCTGGTCTCAGGATCGATGAGGTCATGAATAGTGTTCATCTTGGAGCCTCATTTCTGCTCTGAGCACTTATTTCCTTTCTCTTTTGTGCCAGATAAGAATAAATTGATCGTTTTATCTTAGATGGTCACTTGTCAGCTTTTAAAACCCCAATCACTACTCACCAAACTAGGGTATAGAACATACACTTTTATGAACCTTGTTATGCCAATTGTGAGTTTTTCCACAGTACTATTGTCTTGAAGCTTCAAATCCAGAAAACTAACCCCATGAGGTGCTTGGTTATATCTTAGTATATTTAACTGTGCCTCCTGAGGTGTATTATACATAAATACATTTACATGTATACACACACATAAGCATACCTGTGAAGACACTTCGTATAGGCACACATAAAGGAGCCCTCTTGGTGCTGTGGTTCAAGCATTAGATTACGGACTGACTGACTGGTCAGGCTACTCAGTGGAGGAAAAGATGAAACCATCTATGTAGGCTAACAGCCTAGGAAACCCTATGGAGGAATTCTGCTCTCTCACACAGGTTCACAGAGTTTGAATCAACTCTATGCAGCAGGTCTGGTTTGGGTGATACACATGTATATATATAAGCACATATGCATATGTACATACATACTTAACCACTGGTGGTGAACTGAAATATCTTAATATGACCCTATTTGTGTCTCTGTAACTTCCACAAAATTATTGGGTGGAACTATGCAAATAGTGTGTGAAGCACTAATGGCGAGAATTGGTCCGTTTGGGTTGCCATTCCTCGATGTATAAGAGAGCCCACCAAAGAGTGAAATCCCTGCTTGAATTGGCGGAGGGAGCAGGTCATGCCACGCTGAGACCAGAGGCTGATGCATGGAGACTGTGAGCCAGAGAAAAGGAGCCATGCTGAGACGACGAACTTGACAAGCAGAGCTGTGGATGGGCTTCCCGACTCATGCAGGGAGAGGCCACGGGATCACGTGCCTGAGGGCTGCAAACCAGAGAGACTCGGTTACTGGCTGTGGAGAGGCGTTGCTTTGGACCAATGATGTATCCTTCATGTTTTCTGTACCTGGTTTGTGGTAACCTGTTAATCTCCCTAGTAAACCCCCGTAATTGTGTTATCTGTGAGTTCTGTGTAGCCGTCGCAATAAATGACTGAGCCCTGAAGAAAAGCAGGGCCCTGGGAGGAGCATTGGTGTCAGAGCGGTAACGAACAAGGGAGGGTGGAGGCGTGTCTGGCTACTCTTGTCTTGTGGCAGGCACTCAGTGGCAGCTAGTGTGGCCATAGCTTCTCATCCCTTGTGTAGCCAGAGGTCAAATGTGACCCTGGGCCATTTTTGCAGCGCCCATTTACTTTTGTGTTGTAAAATTATGTATGTTTTAGCTTTTACCAAAAATGGAATTTTTGGTGTACTCTGAACACTTTAGTCATGTCATTTACATTGATTTTCATTATGTAGAACCAGCCTCATATTCTTGAGGTCTGATTGGTCATAATATATTCTTTTTATGTATTACTAGGATGTATTTACTAAGATTGTGTTCTGTGCTCATGGATGATACTGGTTTGCAGCTTTTCTTAGAATGCCTCTGTCTGATTAGGATACTAAGCCAAGCCAGCCTTATAGAATGAGCGGGGGCATGCTCCCTCTTTTTCCCTGCTCAGAAAGTAGGTGTTGTTTACAAATGTGTTGTTAGAATCTGTCAGTGTAGCCATTTGAGCCTGGGGATTTCCTTGTAGGAGGATTTTTAACTACAATTTTTTATTAGTTTTTAGAACCATTCAGGTTATCGGTCTTCTTGAGGGAGCTCTAATAGTTTGTTTCTTTTAAGGAATGTGCTCATTTTCAAGTTTTTTCATACCAGGTTTGTAATTTAGGTCTTCTCTCTTGATCAGTCTGGCTAAAGGTTTATCAATGTTATGAATCTTCTCAAAGATTTTGTTTTCATTGATTATTGTTTTTCTGCTTCTTGTACTGATCTTTATTGTTTCCGTTCTCTTACGTAAGCAGCCATGGTAGTGCTGTGGGTTAGGCGTTGGGCTGCTAACAAGGTTAGCGGTTCAAACTCACTAGCTTCTCCGTGAAAGTTAAGGCTGGCTGCTTCTATAAAGATTTAGTGTCTTTGAAACCCTATAGAGTTGCTTTGAGTCAGAATCAACTTGATAGTGGTGGGCTTCATTGTCTTGTTTTTCTTTTACTTGTTTTGGGATTAATTTGCTTTTCTATTTCAAATAACTTAAAAGTGAAAGCTGAGGAGACTGATTTGAGACTTTTTCTTTTTCTAGTAGATATGTTTAGTGCTGTAAATCATCCCCCTAAATATTGCTTTAACAGCATGCCACAAACTTTTATTATAACAATGGTGTGGCATGGATCATCTGACATCCTTTAATAGGGAACAGTCACCATCAGCATTAGCCGAAGGCTGATTCCCGTGAGGGGGAGGTCAGATATGCTGCCACCCTCCAACCTTCTTAACAATTCTTTCATAAGACTCTCTCCTGGGCTCAGTAATTCATTACAGTGGTCACACAGAACTCACAGACAATAGTCAACATTACAGGGCTTATTAAGGACGTAACAGGATCAGGAGCAACTCAGGATGCAGTTCTTCTGTCAGTACAGCTTCTCAGCCATGCCCATAAGCATGCCCGTCCCTTGGCTTCTTGTCCCTCAGCCTCCTGCCCTGCTCCAGCAAGGGTTACAGTTCTCAAGCACACCACTCCACCAGTTAGTCTCAGCCTGAAGGCATTCAGCTCGCTGCTCTCTCTGGATTGGTGCACCCACAGCAAGCCACCTCACGCCATTGGCCCGTGCCCCATGTTGGTCTCCTGGTGCTGCTGCTATTTTTTGGCTATAGTTGCTACCACCTTTTACCATCTCCTGCTTCTGTCTTGGACCTTTTCCAGTGTTATAGCTCTGTTTATATCCTGGGACAAGATTCTCAGCAGGGAGGGGAGGGGAGGGGGTGACGGAAAAAAGGAGCTAATGCCAAGGCCTCAAGTAGAAATAAAATATTTTGAAAATGATGATGGTAACGTATGTACAAATGTGCTTGATAACAATTGATGTATAGATTGTTATAATAGCCCCCAGTAAAACGATTTATGAAAAAAGAAGATTCTCAGCACAGGAATCCCAGGTCCAAAGGATGGCTCTACTACTGGCTCTTGTTTCTTGATGGCAATGAGGTTTCCCCTCATCTCTGGGGTTGGCTTTCTTTTTAAGACTACCAAACCAAAACCCAACTTACTACTACCGAGCTGATGCCAACTCACAGGATAGCAAAACTAACGCCCTCATCTGGGTTTTATATACCTAATGCATAGTATTACCCACATAGGGGTCCCATGTACCTAATTTACATTAGCAAGGTTGTCCGAGCCCCTTGATGGGCCACAAGCACATTATTTGCATAGTTGTTGTACCCAATCATGTAATGGGAGTCATAATGCTATGCTAAGTAATTCACAGCATCGATGTACTATGTTTTCATTTTCATTCAGTTCAAAATATTATGTAACTTCTCTTTTGAATTTTTCCCTGACCCAAAGGTTATTTAAAAGTGTTTTTAGTTTCTAAATAGTTGGGGATTTTCCAGAGATATTATTAATTGCTAGTTTAATTTCATTGTGGTCAGATAATATGCTTGGATTCTTTTACACTTAGTAAAATTTGCTTTAAGGCCAAAATACAGTGTCTCTTGGTAAATGTTCCATGTGGACTTAGGGAAAATGTGCCTTCTGTTGTGAAGTATGAGCACTCCCTGGATTATGAACAAGTTCCGTTCCCAAGGCTGTTTTTCAGTTGGATTTGTACATAAGTCAGAACAGTTAAGTGTGGTTCATATCTAACGTCAAATGGTTTGTTTTAGTACATAGAGTGCTTTGCTGTGCATGAAAAGCATTAAAGAAACATGTGCAGATAGACTAAAGCATCTTTAGTGCAATAATACAGTAATGTTTGCCTGCACTAAAAAAAATAGTACCTGCTTGTTATTATGAGCTATTATATGTACCTATACATTTTTTACTATATTAGGCTTTGTGAATGTTAGTTCATAAATAGGACATTTATAACCCAGAACAAGCCTGTACATCAAGTTGATGAAGATGTTACATCCTACATCCGTAAGGATCTTGTGTATTTGTTCAATTAATTACTGGGAAGCAAACCCAACCCAACCCCCCTTTGTCAATTCTGTCCAATAGGGTTTCCAAGAGAGCCAGGCTACGTGTTTTTATGAAAACAAACTGCCTCATCTTCTCCGGCCAAACAGCTAATCAGTTCAAACTGTCAACCTTGCAATAAGCAGCCAAGTGTTTAACCAGTACACCACTCACTCACTGCCATTGAATTGATGCCAACTCAACTCATAGGGACCTTACAGGATATGGGGGATGGGGGCTTAATTACTGAGAAATCCAGAAACCACTGCCATCTAGTCAATGCTGCCTCATAGCAGCCCTATAGGACAAGGTGGAACTGGCCCTGTAAGTCTCCAAGACTATACCTCTTTGAAGGAGTAGGAAGCCCCATCTTTCTCCTGCAGAGTAGCCCGATGAGAAACCCCTCTGCTGCCGGGGCTCCCTCCTCTCTGAGAAAAGGGTATGAAAATCGCTGACTCTTAAGTGTAAATTTGTTTCTCTTTGCAGTTCTTAGTCTTTTTTCTTAATGTTTTAAAATTCTGTTTAGGGGTATATAAACAATTGTTATATCCTTTTGATTGGCTGTCATGATAAAGTAATGCACCGTATATTTATGTCATAAAAATATAATGTATGACATCACCACCACCATCAGGGGAGCATCTTTATTTTATCAGAAAGTAGCCTGGTGGCGCACTGGTTAGACACTTTGCTCACTGAAAGTTTGGAGGTTCAAACCCACCTGACAGCTCCATAGACAAGCGGACAGTGTCACCATAAAGATCACAAGGGCTAGACAAATTAGGTGAAATAGACATGACAGCATCTTGACATTTTATCCTAAGACTCAACCAAGAATTCTTCCTCCTCTGACAACGTACCCGACATGGCAGCTGGTTACCTTGTTCTCCTCCTCCCCTGCTGGGTACGGATGAGGCAACAGAAAGAACGAATGATCTGCCTGGTGACTTTCTGACAGGAAGGGAAGGGGTACCCTGAAGGCCACACAAAAGGAAAGTGCTGCCACATGACCTCACCCTTCAACTTGTTCGGCAGGCTGTCTGGTCATTTCCGGAGAACGTGGCTGCTTGCAGAGGAGGGGTGGTGCTCGTTTATAGTTTTGTCCCTGCTCTTCTGCTGTGGTCTCGTGAGGGAACCCGCCTCACCGGGCCTCTGGTGAACACTGCTCCTTCCTGTCCTTGTGTCTTCCCAGGAGCCAGCCCCGCTCTTTGACCTGGCGATGCTCGCTCTGGACAGTCCTGAGAGCGGCTGGACAGAAGAAGATGGTCCCAAAGAAGGGCTAGCCGAATACATCGTGGAGTTTTTGAAGAAGAAAGCAGAGATGCTTGCCGACTATTTCTCTTTGGAAATTGATGAGGTGCGACAGCCATGCTTAGTCCTCAGATTAACACACATTCTATAGATGGTCCAAGATCAGGTGAAGGGCTGGCAGGTGACATACCACTTGCGTTGCTAGGTTACAAAACTGTTCTATCATTCATTTGTGCCCATTGACCCATCATCCTTACTGAGGAGAAGAATCCAGTGTAGGGGGAGAGCTGAAGCCCCCAGTCTCTGATCGCTGTAATCAGTAAGATTGTCCCCAGAACTTGCCCTGTTTATTCCTCTTAGGGCTTCCCATCGTCAAGTTCTTTCATATGTGAAAAGATTCAGAGTTATTCAACAAATTCAGGCAAAAAGTTAAAACAAAAACCCTTTTACTGTGAATTAGGTGAAGGTTCAAAAAGCCCTTTTTAAGTGGTTAGCTTAGCTCTCCACCCACAGGGTCCAGTCTAGTCAAACCCCAGGTTCCCCAGAGACAGGCAGATAAGTGTGACACAGGCCTGGAGGAAGACTGGGAAAATGGAACTTATTAAAACCCTAACGGCATTCTCCCTTCCCCCCTTGTCCTGGCCTTTTCCCCCACCAGCAGGAAGGGAACCTGATCGGATTACCGCTTCTGATTGACAACTATGTGCCCCCTTTGGAGGGACTACCCATCTTCATACTTCGAATGGCCACGGAAGTGAGTGATCTGGTTTTCCCACCGAGTTCATAGGATAGTGTGTGTGCTGCAGGCAGGAGCCAGTCTCCGTTTGGGATGATAACGATGAAAGGGTAAAGCGACGGAAGGCCTCCCCAGCTCCCTCCATAGAGATACTCAACAGTTCCAATTTATAGCCTCGTTGCCTAAAAGGTTTAGATTT